CTATTGTCAACTCCAGCTCAGGTTGAGAATTTTCCACTTTCCGACTTACACTGCTTTTACGCATAAGCGTTCATATTATGGTCTGTTTGCATCTAAAGTTTCTTATACAAGTGTTTGATCCATCTTCCTATTTCGTGTTGCATGGATGTTGGTATTACGTCATCACGTGTGCGTGACGTGTACATTATACTCTTTCATTACACTAGCTATCACTCACCGAGCTTGCATTTGCAGTACACAATGTCAGCACAATTTGTACTGTGGACAAAAGCACCTATACGCCATTCCTCTGTGTTTGGTTTTGCTCCACGATTTCGGCTGGAATGCAAAGGAAGCCCATACCAAGCTGGTGGATACATACGGTGAGGACGTCATCTCTTACATGACATGCAAAGAATTGGGTTGCCGCTAAATTCAAGAAATGGAGACTTTTCCTCCTCCGACGATGCTCTCGAGGTTCGAGCGGCCGATGGAGTTGGATTTGGAAGTACTGCGTTCCACCGTGGAGGAGTAGAGAAATGGCGACCATGCTTAGCTATGATCATTCGACGGTGGCACGTGGACTAGAGAAGCTCGCAATTGGTGCAAAGGGCTTTGGTCGATGGGTCCACATGAACTGTCCGCTTTTATCACTTCTTCGAGGAGGGGGACCACTCTGCACTCCTCCTCAGCTTTTTCAAATAGAGGCCTTCACTGTTCTCAACTCGATAGTGAATTCCTTGGTAGATTGAGAAGTCGGTCCTCTACGTATATACCCTGTTGAGGAATGTCGGAGTGGGTCGTACAAAGTAGAATCAGCCAGTAGCACTGAAGTGCCGATCTTCACCCCAAAAGATCTTCTGTCCTGTGTGTTCCCCCATGAAAGAGGCGATGCCCCGCTCTGGGGATGCTGCTGGAAGGGACAGATCGATTGACGCTTCACATTACGTGACCTTAGCATGCCGTGAAATTTGAAAGATCCGTCGACGCGTACCTCTCGTGGAAGGATTCGCGGAAATTCTACTTCCACGGACCGATGACAATCGCCCGACCTACACTGCAAAATAGGCGTCCCAGGGAGGCTGGAGAAGTACGGATGGCTGATGGTCGCCCACACTCCCTACAGCCCTGACCTCGCTCCTTCTGACTACTGGCTGTTCAGCCACCTGCAGCGCTATCTGGACGGAAAAAAGTTCGAAACAAAGGATCAGGTCAGAAAGGCGCTCGACGACTTCTTCAAGTCCCAGCCTCCGTCGTTCTGGAAGGATGGAATCGACAAGCTGCCTGAGCGCTGGCGTCGAGTATTGAAGTGGTGACGGTGCATACCTCTAATCTCCAGGCTGTTCGTTTTTGAGATATTTACTAACCCAAAGGTGCTGTATATCCAGAACTTTGCAACACCTAAATTACTTTGTGTCAACGTTTTTGGAAAGCGTTCCGAGATGTCCATCAGTGTTCTGAGGTTCGCATCAGTGTTTCCTCTTGCATCTTCCTGGGCTTTCAGCGTCTATGGAATAGTATACAGTTGCGTATCCATATCAGTAATATGACCACACCTCCCTAGAGTACCCCTAGGAGCTTAAGATGAAACAAGTCCTAGTCTGTTATTTAGAGTTTCAGCATATCTCGAATACCTGTTTGACGTTTTTCGCGCCATACTGAAGAATATCGAGTTTTTTTCATCAATAAGCTCCCAATCGGCTGTGATTATAAGTATAGACATTCACTTTGAGACTGTTAAGCAAGCAAAAATAATTCCGCTTCTGCGAAAAGTTATGTTTTATTCACGAGGGCAATAATTCTAACGAAGTGAGCTAGTCTGCACAATAGAAATGCCCAAGAATCTCATCTATTCCGACGAAGAGCACGCTCAGTATTTAGCGCCTTGCACACAGAGGTTCTGAGCAATTTCGTGAGATCGCTCTGCTCAGCTTCCGTTCGCCTTCATTGTCAGTCGCGAATCTGCGGCGCTGGCATATCCTATGGAGGCAAGAGAGACCTATCGGTAGGCCCGAAATGCTCATTGCCCCAAACGAACGTCAGATTGCGATCGGCTTTTCTGCCAACTCGATCGATCCCGTCAACGATCGTTGGTGGCCAGCTTCTCGATACTCTCGGTTTCAAATTATGAATCGCGTATGTGAAGGGCGATCAACGCAACAGTCAACATTCCGCGATGTCCGTCTCGTCCAACTCTCCCCGACTTACGCGTGAGTCTCACAGAGAGGCTCGGTCCAAGTTTTTCCTAGAGTGAACATGGCAAACAAAACCTTGGATCAATAGGCGGCGTTGTGGTGAGGTGAGTCGAAGGGAGACGACAAAATTTTCTTGTTTAGGTTTGGTGTCTTTGTATTAAGGTATTTAACCTGGATCGGTCCAGACGGGTAGCCGTGTTGTCCGGACGGATTTGGGTGCGCGAGAGGGAGCAGGAAGATTGTGTCAGCATGGCGTAATTTCGGCGGAGGCGTGTTATGGGTGTGTGGGGAGGATTCCAGCGAGGCGGCAAGCTTGAACTAGCCTTCATTCCCACGAAAAAGAACTCAGTAGACTACCAGACATGCTTGGGCGACACCTGCTGCCGGGGGTGAGGAGTTCTCTCGCTAGTTAGCGGCGTAGAGGAGAAGTTGTCTTCTACAGGACACCTGCGGCCATCGAGTGTGACGAGTGCTCTGTATGGCATGTTGAGGAGGAGAGTGAGGACGAGAATGAGTTAGGCCCTCCCCATGTAAACCCCAGTAGACAGATAGTGGGGTAGCTGCGTTGTGAGGGGAGTGAGTGTAGAGAGGAGAGGGAAGGTGTGGTCAGAAATGTCGCGGAGACCGTGCGCGTGGGGCGAGACCAAGTCAGCCAGTGGGTTGTTTGGAGGGGGGGTGGTGGGGGTGCCAGAGCGTGGAGAGAGAACTGGGAGTCCATAGCGAAGAGGCGAAGTTGTGTGAGAGAGCGAGTGTCGGAAGAGAGAGAGAGTGCGAGTGTGTCATTGAAAGGCTGTTAGTAGTGTTTGTTTTCATAGATAAAAGTTTCCGGGCTCTTAAATGATGTCTCTAGTGTGAGTGAGTGTGAAAACAGGTCGATTGTGGCGGGCTGAACCATCCTTAATATTGTTTCAACAGTCTGCAACAGTGTGATGCGTGTGTGGAATACGGAGTGTTTTCGTAGCCTTCTTGAGAATTACCGGTATCAGGAAACTGTTGCATGGGAGCCGTTGAGAGGAGATGTGGTGACGTGGATTTGGGGTGTGGTGTGATGGTGAGTGAGTGGAGGCTGTAGGTATCCGAATTTGGTCGTGCAGCGTTTCGAGCGCCCAAGCAAGCACTTTTACGTTTCGACGCGCTAGCAAAACATGGGTGTTCCGAATTATTTTAGTTATAGTTGATTGTGAGTTTTATATTAATTATTATCGCTGACAACATGGCGGAAGCTCAAACGCTGGATCGACACGCATACGTGTCCTAGTCGGCCGTGAAAGTGCACGAGTGAAGTGTGAAGTACATACTGCTGTGCCATTGATATCGTTGAGCCTCTATACCCATAGTCACCCCATATATATAATTTCGCTTTGTGTCTGTTTGTTATGTTTGTTTGTATTGTTCTTTGTTTTGATTTTTAAGTTGCGTTTGTTTGTTTGTTTTGTAAAGCGTTTATCTGTCCGGAAATTCGGATTCGAACCTGAAGAAACGACTACGTGGAGAGGTCCGAGTCGAGTGGGGATGGAGTAGGCGCGTGGAACAAGAAATCAAGGGACACTTGACCTATGGAAGGTCCCTCGCCACGAGTTCGGGCACTGCGCCGAAAAAGTCTTTGGGGTTCCGGACAAAAATGTTCATAATTCGCTCCGGGAACAACGCCTCTAAAGGGATGGCGGAAAAGGAGCTACAGGTTAGTAAGGAGAATCGGCCAGACAATAACACTGTGTGAGTCGGCAGGGCGTGAGTGGCGGCGGCGCGGGTAGGGCGTCAAGTGGGCGGTGCTTCTCGGCAAAAATTCAGTAACCGGTTTTCGCGAGAAGTGTTGTGGAAGTCGCAAAAGAGTCAGTTAGACTGAGAGTGAGTGTGGCGGAATATAGAAGCGTGATAAGACTCGCGCCATGTGGGCGGCGTGTGCCCTAGGAAGTCGCAGGGTATCATTTTAAATGGTTGTAGGCTGCGGTTCAGCAACAGCTCAAAAATACCGTTAGGACAACACAACAAAGCACTGGATTAAGTTCAGCAGAGGGTTCGTCGTAAGGAATATGTGGGGCCAAAAATTATGGGGCGGAGCCTGACATCCACGGTGGGCGAGTCAGACAAACACAGATCTGAGAAGAGCGCCACGACGCATTCAACAGACCGCGGAAATTACGGAGTGGGAGCAAGTCAGCGAGGAGGTGTGGTGAGTTGGGGGGGCAAAAACATTGATGGGCGGCCAGGCGTGAGGTGGGGCGGCGAAGACGCGGAGAATGAGTTCAAGAATTTCCGCTAAAGACTGTCCGCAGAGCGTGTTCGATGACCGGAAAAAAAGGTGGATCAAGGTCAGTAGAGGGTCGCGTCGGTGAGGATTGTGGGGCAAAAACATTGTGGGCGGAGCCTGCTCCGAGGTGGGCGGAGCCAGACGAAAATTCCCTAAAACTGTCCCAGAGCACTTCAAAGACCGGAAAAAAACGTGGATTAAGGTCAGGAGAGGGTCGTCGGTGAGGATTGTGGGGCACAAACATTGTGGGCGGGGCCTGCTCCGAGGTGGACGGAGTCAGACGAAGAATCTGTAAAATAGCTCAAGAGTACTTCAGACACCGGAAAAAATGGAGTACAGAACAAAAGGGGATATCAGTTGAATCTAGAAATATGTGAAAGAAAGCACGCGCGGCGAGCCGCGCCGCCGGCGCAGCCGGCGTATAGAAAGAGCCACGCCGGGCGTCAACCGGCGAGGCGACTGGTATTCTATCTTCTGAAATGGCTTCATTTTAGCAAAATTTAGATGAATGAAGTGAGTGATTAATATAGGATCTTATTGCAAAGGCCAGTAACTTGTTAGGTGCTGTCGTTTTTATGTATTCCGCGCTTGAAATAGCTCTTCGTTCCGTTCGAGCAGAAGATGAACTGAACAGTCTCGGTGCTGGTGCCCTTACAGGTGCACTATCGCGTCCGCAATGGATTAAGACAGTGGTCATCGGTATGTCAATGTTTCATTTCGTTTGCAGCTTTTTGAAATGCGAAAGAATCTGCTGAGAATATTTCGTTCTTATTAAGGTGCTCTTGTCGGATTAGCATTAGCGGCCGCTTGGACGATAGCGAATCCGGATAGCCGGCAACGAATTTCCGAAATATTTGCTTGATTCGTTAACAGAATTCCCCTTGATCCATTTTTATGGTAGTGTTACGTCAATTCACGTTTTTATTATTGATTCTATTCTGCGTCAGTAATGATTGTTTTAATAGGAATGCCGTAAAAGGCGTCCATATATCATTCGTAGAGTTTCTTAGAATATTACTAGGCTCATAGATTGTTACTTGTTGCTTAGCTGATATTATTCGAGTTTGTATGGCGCTCAACAGAATCAAATACACTATTTCTGTTTGTTTAGCGCAACATGAACGCTCAAAGAACAGTTTTTATTTCCAATCAATGAATATCTCCCTGAATTTTGACGGTAGACTGTTCGACTGCTATCGAATTAAATACAAGTCTCGGGACGCTTGGGAGTGGTCAGGAGCGTCTTTTGCTCTATAGAAGAAGAAGTTATGGTACCTGTTTTTTTCTAAAAGTCCGTCTCACTAGTACGATGGCGCATTAAAAACTGCGTTTCTGAGAGTTCATCGAGATCACCCATAGCGGAACACCGAAGAGAGCAATCAAGAAATTAGGGGGGGGGGGGAGAATTCAGTATTTTGTCAAAGTCCTACATAACGCGCGGTGTGACCTGCTGTCGATATAGGGTCCGCCACGCGGAAGCCGTTAGTCCTACAGTTCTTGGCGTCCAATCCATACTTTTTCATCCTAACAAGAAGGATTTTTTTTTCGACTGGGATATCTGAAAAGCAAATTAGCGAAATCTAGCAGATGGGCGTGTCAACAGGGGTGGGTTTATGCCGGTAACAGCGGTTGTAGCTTACCTGCTTCAAGAATTCAAGAAAAGAGAGGAAGCCAAGAAACTAACGAAATGCGCCGTAAACTTCAGATTTCACGGTCATGTGTTCATCAGGAATTCATATCAATCTGGTCATTGAAAGCGACCAAGTTCCTGAGCTGTTAAGAGTACAGCAAACCCCTCGAAGACTGCTGTGCGGAAATCATTGAAAGAGTGGAGGGCTTCCGGTACCTGAGAAACGGTCTAGAGCTGTTGATTATGTGGACCAGGCTCGGATGAAATGGAAGAATCCACTGGTATCCTCAGCGACAACTAGTTTTCAGGGCGCTCAAGGACAAGATGTACCGGACAGCGGTGAGGTCTTCGATGCTGTACGGCGACGAGTGCTGACCATTAGACAGGAGCCCGAACTCCATTCCGCTGAAATGACGGCGCTGAGATTGGCCTGCAGCCAGACTCGTTCGGATAGAGCAAGCGGTATGGTGTGCGGGGTATTCGCACCGGGACCAACCGAACCAACGTGACTAGCTGCGGCACGTCGACCCTCTCTCTTGCGTCTCTTAAGCCGACCAACTAACTAGGACTTTCTCCGCTTGTGCGCGCAATGCCGCGTCTCTTGAGTAAGGTTCCACACTAAAATTTTTGAAGCCATGAAGTTTCGACGCCGCTAGTCGAACAATTCGATACTTACGCCCTAGGGATGTCAAGCGTAGTCATCTCTTGACATGCCATTCACGAGATATAGGAAGTAGCTTCTGGGTGGGTGATCGCTTCAGAGGGTATGCGAAATCCATTCTGCGCAGAGGAATTGGTTCGTCCTCAGCGGAACTCCTTCCTCTGGATCTCAAAATCCTTATCACCCAGCGCAAAGTACCTCCAACATTGAAAAATCGAGGAAATAAAGTGGAAGGGTTGTATGCTGGGCGCAGCACCTGGAAAGCTGGCGGTGTCAGGCGATCCCCTCCGTCCACCCAAATTTCCCATTCCGGTACGACACCCTACCCCATCTTTCCTACCATCTTCCTGAATTGTCCCAACTCGCTACCACTTTTCTCAGTTCAAAAGATCTTCTAGCTTTTCATAAAAAAATTAGCTGATAATAAGACGGAAGGGTGGGGGCGAAGGGTCAACAACCGAAAGCATCCTCTCGCGGCTCGAAAAAAATTTCTGTCAAAACAACATACGACCCCCGTCGACCAAGAATGCTCCAACCTCCCCCTCCCCCTCCTCCCGATGGGAATCTCCCAGCGATGCTGTACTCAATGTCGCAGGGCTCTTTACTCGTCGTCGGCGTGTCAGCGATGTGGCGTGTCGCATCTTCCAAGACGTAGTGCTGGACTGCTACCTTCACTGCCGACTGCCTAACCTCCTTATCTTGAGACTTTCGATATTCCGGGTAATGTCGATGATTGACGACTGAAACGATAATCTGCAGATGGTCAACGACCTTGTTGAGTGTTTGTCACTGACGGTACTTGACTAATTAGTGAAGAGCATCAGCCGACACCTATTCAGCACATGTTTGCCGCTGACCGATCTTGTCTTGAACATGACGTACGTCACCTTGGAAAATGATTATCGCCCGACGCAACATGTGATGTAGCCTGATTTTAACACCGGAGACCGGGTACGGCGAAATGTTATCGAAAGACGGGAATTTAGAGTCAGGAGTTACGCGCAGGACATTCAAATCAGGCAGATCTTTTTTCGAGCTAAAGCGAGCGAAAATCATTTTTGCCATGGTTTGGTGAAGCAACAATTCTTGCTTTATCAGTGTGCTAGAATTCTCTAAAGGTGAGGAATCATAGAAATTCCACTCAGTTTCTTTATCGTGCCATGCACCTATTCTTATAGAAAGTTTTCGCGAATCATTCAGATAGTTATTCAAGCCGTTCAATGACCGCCTCGGATCGTAAAGCATCACCCCCGTTGTCGTTTTCTGAGATGCACCTATTAATTCAGGCACGAAGGATTTGTTGGTCCTATGCAGACAGGCTTGTCGTATCGTTGTGTAATAGTGACAAATTACGACCCAGCTAGGAGATTCGTAATTCGTTCATGGGAGGAGCGTTATTTGGCCTTCAGACCGAGATGTTTCAGTATTGCTTTGTCCGCGTCTCCTTTTCGAGTGCGTACATTTATATCCCCGCTTGCATACGGCACTCTTTCAAAGACAAATTTAAGGAATCTCTTCTTGAAAACTTTGGAAAAGCGATAATGAAAGGTTGGTGAATTTACCGAATCAACAAGTTGTCGGTAGGATGGGGAATGAGGAAAGGTCGTTACGGCATTACCTGTTTGACTCCAGAAATTCGAACACGCTATCTTAACATTGCCTAAGTCACGAAATCTCCCTAAAAACTTGTATATAGGTAGTTTATGTCGATTGCAAAATACATTCACCTCTTGTTGCTGCCTCTTTAATTATATGACACTACGATTATCGCGCTATGCAGGCTGAGCCCAGAGTCAATGGTTCATCCAATTAACGCCAGCGACAACATTGAATTTCATATTCGTAACTTCAGTATTGTTAAACTACCCCCTATTACAAGTTTTTAGGATTTGGTACTTATGCAATTAAATGAGCTCATCCGAAATTCTGGAGTTCACGCATTACCTCGACGGGATGGCAAATTTGCGGGGTCGGTTTAGCAAAATTATCGTCATGGAGAATCCCTAGACACATATGCCGCCGTTACGTCTTCTATTTACATATTTCAATCTTCTAGCTACTTTCAAACACTTCCTACTCGATACAGATCATATACACATCCAGAGAATCCAGAGAAAGGGGAAAGCTGGTAAAAGCTCAAAGCTACAGGAGCTCTATGCGAAGGTGTGCCCTACACACGAATATGCCGCCTTATATCCCAAAATAATGTCAAAATGATCACTTCACAAGCATGTTTTCTTTTCTGAAGTCTGAGCACTTGATCAATTCTCCGTCACCTTAGGTTTCGCGACCCGCCTACATCAAGCCTAGAAATCAAGCAATAAGAGTACCGAATAATATTGTCAGCTCCAATCAAGGGCTAACTTAAGCTTTCAACAGCGACTCTACTCCGCTCTGCTCTTCCTAGGCACCTACCATAGTGGATGCGTCGTTTGTACCTTCTGTCAATTCAAGAACTTCCTATCTACCTGGATACTAGGTTAGTACACGGACGACGACTGTTTGCAGAAAGATGTGAGAGCTGGGCATCGTTGGGAGCAAGAAAACCCAAAGGGGCCGCCCGGGGCTTTTTTTTTACCGCCGTTTTTTTTTTCCCCCAAAATCCATCAAAGCACATTTATGGCTTGCTTTGTTCTCATCACTCTTCATCTATCATTGCTTCTTCTTTTTGCTTCTCGAATTCTATCTTTTCGCAGACCAGAATAGCCTCTTGACTTTTTTGTAGAAAATCCCATAAATCACAGTGGAGACTAGAATTGCTCATATGTGTCGCATCACTGAACGCCAAACTGCTCATCGCTCTCCCATATCTGTCCCTCATGATGAAAGCGTAGGATTATGATGCTAATACTATGTCATGAATGTGTTACAAATAAGCGCACGACTCAGCGTCGATGGATTATCGTCCTTTGGTCATAAAGAAGATACCTCTGATTATAGCGCTTTACATAAATGATGAATCTCCCCGCTGTGACCATGCTTTACTCATCGGAGCGCCAAAAGGTACTTCTAGAGCATGAATCAAAAATGCAGTGGCTGCACCTGCTTAACAGTAGACTAAGGCATTTTTTTCGGCGTCATTCTTTGAAGTGAGTTCCACAGCCTCTTGACTCAGTCACCCACGGGTATACCTTAGTTCGTCTAACTTACAATTAGCAACTGCACAGACGATCGAAATATCACACCCAGCCATCTTGACGCGAATCTACCTCGTCCAAGCTGCCTTGCATATCCTGAGGGCCCTGACTACTCAATAATGAAGTGCCGCCGCAATAGCTATTTCTTCTTTCAGTTGCATTCAGTTCTTATACAGTTTCACATAGCCTGAGTGGCTCATTACTCAGTCAGAGAGAGGGACTCCCAGAGCAGGTTTTAAAAAAATCCCTGCTCTAGGAATCCTCTCTTGACTCGGTATGAATCTGCACAATGAATGCAACTTGTATGTGTTGATGAAAGAAAATACAAATATCTGTGCGATATTCCTTTGAGAGAAAGCGTGACTTCCAATGTGTGAGGGGGATGAGTATAGGACACCTATAGAACTCAAGCTGTATGCCCACTCACGGTCATC